TTTTTTTTCTTCCATTTTTAGTATAGTTGCTGCTCTAAGTGGGTCGGTCTGTCAGCTAAAGGCATGTGTTGGAGTCTATACTCCAGTTAACAATCTATTACTAATTTGTTGATGACTATTTCAATAATTGATCAATCACGATTAATCAGTTTCAGGTTATTTCAGCCCTATTTGTCATCAATATCCGGTATTTTCATTAATAAATGTATCGATTTTAAACTGTAAAATGTGTTATCTGTTTTAGAATGTAAAGTGAGGGAGAAAAGATCATTATCAGCTGCACTAAAAAACGTCAGGCATCAGTTAGACTGATGTCATATTAATCTGTACGTTCCTTAAAAGCCGTATTGGTTGATCTCTATCAACAGTGTGTTGATTTTTAAGGTTTGATTTCCTTCTTTAGTTGTGAGTAAAGCACCGAACGGTGAGCAGCTGCTGGATGAGTCAGGCTGAGTGCAAACAAAAGCTTATGTCAAAATAAGAAGACAAAAACAAACGTGTTTCTCACATAGACCTAGACCTCACAGAAAAGCATAACAGCAGCCTGGAAAGCCCCCTGCTTCCTGAGTCAAAGCTGCGCTGTAGATCAGCCGCCCGTTTTATAGGGTCAGACTTTTAACGTTTCCAGTGAATCATTTTCAAACATTAACTCCTCCTTCTTAGCTCCACCACCTCGTCAAGCAGGTCATCTGCTTCACATGGTTCTAGTTTGCGGTTTAGGACACTTGGCGCACAGTGGTGAGAAAATAATGAAGGGAGGGAGGGGATGCGTTTTCAGATTGCTGTCAGCTTACGTAAAAACCACATGCGTTGGCAGAGCTATGGAATATAAAACGCTAAACGGGCCATAAAAGGAGTCCAATCATCGTATCTTAAGAAAATCTTCGTTTATGTACGGCATCCGCCGGCGGCCATAATGTCGCACTGCTATCGGCCTTTATCCACATACTGCAGATCAGCTCAGCCTGTTTCTCATTTGTTCTCTCTCACCTTACGTAACCAAACCACAAAGTTTTGTGTGTCGTGAGAAACGGGTGGAGGGACATTTGAAGTCTGACTGCAGCCCCAAACGCCATGTGGATTTAATTCACTGTTATATAAACAAAAATACAATTACATCCCCTATTGACTCGCTCCGTTACGGAGGAGCTCCATCGGCTGCATCCTCAGAATTTTTATCTATGTGACCTGCAAAAGTATTCACAAATGATTTTTTTTAATCTTTATATGAAAAGTTGTATTTTATTTTTACCCCCTTTAATATGATCTCCCTCTTTAATTGTAAATCTACAAATTAAACTCACCTTTTTAATAAGAAGAATATATCAGGGTTATGTCATTAAAAAATAAAAGTTTAATCACGTGTGTTTGCATCTTTGCCAATTTTTCTCCCCCTGATGAGATAAAAATATTATGTCTAAGCAAAAATGACATACTTAAAAAATATATATCTTGTATTTGAGATTTTCCAATCAAGTTTTTTTAAGGACGTTGCTGATTATTTTGATATTAGGCTTACCAATCCCTGATATGTGCTGCTGATATTTTTGCACCATCTCTTAACAGCCAATATTGCTTTTTTCATCTTTCATTTACCATTTATTTTAAAATGAAACGATGAAAACAAATGTTACACAAGTCTCAGTTTAAACAAAACAACCATTCAGTAACTAATCAAAATAAAC